GTGGTGGGGAGAGGCCTCCCTGGTAACGGGGTCTCTTCCTCGGGTCCTGGGGTGGCTCCTGTGTGGTGATGGCTGATTTGTGGTGGTGCTCCTGGTCCTGAAGGTGGGAGATGGAGCTGGTGGGAGCTGAGTTTTGCTGAAAGAGAAAACTTGCTTTATTTCTTTTGCTGAAAGAGAAAACTTGCTTTATTTCAAAACTTGGGTCAAACCTGTTTGAAGCTCTCTCTGAGATGGGAGAGGATGCTTGCTCTGTAGTAATTGAATGTGCCTGAAGGGGTGTGGGGGGATTTGCCTCGAGTGTTTCAATAAGCAGCTGGAGGTGTGGTGCTCCTATGGTATTTGTCTTAGTGGATGTCTTGTGTAGGCCCTGGGTTGTTTCCCTTATTGATGAGCTCTACAGACTGAGATGGTTAGGAAGGAGGCCGGTTTCTGCTCTGTGATGTTTTTGCTATCTCCTAGTTAGGGAAAGCTATCTGTCTAATGGGAAAACAACTAAGAAAAAAGAAAGCTTTCCATAGCTCCTTTTGGGAGATCTCTGGGGTGAGGCTGAGTTGCTAATTTCTATATAACTGAAGGTAGAAAACTCTCTTAGCTACCGAGTAACACTTGACCCGGGCAAAGAGAGTGCCCCCTGTAAGATGGGACCGACTGAGTCGCTGGATAGGTGACCTAAAGACTTGGTTATCTAAATTTTATCTAGTGAAAAGCTAGATTTCTCTCTTGGAGAAATCTATTGCTTCCCTTCCTCTGCAGCGAGAAAAGAGAGGAGAAATGTGAGGGAAAGAAGAGTGATTGCATCCCTATGTGCTCCTGGAGTACTGGGAACTGAGCTATAGTCGGCTAGGTGGGAAGCGGGTGGTGACGTGTCTCTCCTGTGAACAAATAAAACGATCTGCTTCTGCAGGCTTTCTGGAAAGGTTGTTTCTACTGCAGGTGGGACTGCTCTGTGCTGTGTGCTGGAATGGGGACGTCTAAGAATATCTGCGCTGAAGAGGAATGGCTAGGCTTGGCTAGCTTGACTTGTGGTGGTGAAGTGGATGCCTGCCTGTCTCTGACTTAAAACGACAAGAAATCCTTGCTTACCTCCAGAAAATCAAGATGCGCTGCCTGGTTCTGCGCTCTGTTTTCTTCTGTTTTGTTGCTGCTGATGTTATTGATCTCGGAACGCTGAAGCTGTTGGCTATTTGGCTTTGTGTGCTCTGTAAAAATAAATAAATAAATAACGGAGATTTAAGTCAATAACAAATATTTTTATACAGTATGTACTGCAGAGAGCTGAGTCAGATTTGCTTGACTTGCTGAGTGAGAGAACGCGGTATGGTGCTAGTGTTGGTGTTGTTGCAGCCCTATCTCTGAATTCGAGAAATGTTTCTATCTGATAGAGCTTCCTGAGCTCTGAGGAGGGTGTGCTGTCCTGAGAGCGGAGTGGGGGTGACTGCTGTGTGAGAGAAAAACTCCTTTTCAAGGTCCCTTTTCGAGGTGAGCGTGCTGACACCTCTCTGGTTTCTTGCTAGGTAACCTGAGGTGGTGCTTCATGGCAAACCCCTTTGTGTTGCGTCTCTAAGTTGGTGCCTGTGGCCCTTGTCCCAAACTGAGCCTGAACTCTAATGCCGATAGCAAAAATACTTGGTGCTCGGTATGGAGCTCTTGAACAAAAGAAATGGAACTGTGGGGGGCTTCTGCCTCTGCGTTAAGTGCTCGCGTGTAGTACGGCGTATGGCTGTGTGAGAGCCTGCCGATAATTAGTTTTGCAAGTAGTTAGTTCAAGGTAAGTAGCAGCAGAATTGTAAGTGCAGCTGGTAGAGACTTCGGGATTGCAAAGGCTGTTCAATGAGCAGGATATGACAGTGAGTGCCTAAGGGCTTGACCTCAACAGAATTTCAATGAGTTAGGAGGTTATTTTGCTCACCTGTTGAAGGTGATGTGGGCAGGCGCCCCGAAAATGTATGTTGCTGAGCTGAGAGGAAAAGTTCATAAAGAAACTAATGCGCTCACTCACTGCAACGTCTCCTTCTCTTTACAGAATGAGAAAACAACCTGCTGTGCTCTGGCAGCCCTGGGCTGTTGCTGCTCCTGGCGAAGCGCGCCTGCTTTCTGACCAGTTTTTCCTTAGCTCCTGTCTGAACCTCCTGTGCCCTAACGTCATGCTGGGGCGGGCCCTCCTCGAGTGCTGCTATGTGCTGCTGGCTCTAGTTTAACTTGCTGCCG